AGTTAATCTGGCATTTAGGACCAATTTTCCTTGTCTCTCATTCATTTTCAATTTAGCTGTGGTTTTTTTAGACTCTCTGAAATCAAAAGGGAAAGGTGGGGAGGACAGTCGTTTTTTGCCTGCTTGATGGGCCGCATTGAAAAAATTTTCGGGATCAGCAGTTCGCTTCCGAGTGAGGAAGAGCAACCGTATTCAGCTTATTGCATGAACTTTCTTTGACAGGCTGCAAGCCTTTCCGGTAGGTTTGGTGGAATAGGGGGGCGAGGTTCCATTAGTCGACGTCAGAGCGCTACAACCGTAACATAAAATTTTACAAAGTGACAGTGCGTCCTGATTGTTTTCATTATAGATGAAGCATCAACGGGTAGTGTTCGGACCGCGGCGCAGTCGTGTGTACTGACGCGAACGCAGAAGGAATCCCTTTCTTCGTCCATGTCTGCTGGTGGTGGCGGTACTGGTGCAGCATGTGTCAGTTTGGGCACAACATATAGGCATGTTTTATTATGCGCGCATGAAACCTCTTCACATGATTTTAAGCAAAAGTGACTTGTTCCACAGACGTTCCTGGGAATATAATTTCGAGGCAGTGGAAAGGGGAAAGTATAGGAAATTGAAAGGACTGGAGGAGGAAGGGGCGGGGGAATTGTAAAAATAAACCTGCTTTTGTAGCGTTGATTTTGGAAATATTCCCGTGTATTATGTTTCGTTTTTATTCAGAATTGGTTCCGTGGGCTATGATACGCAGTTATGTTTATGGGACATAACGGAAGATGTTTTAAGGCAAACACCAACGATCCAAAAGCATCGCATATCAACATTTGTCCCTGTCGGCCCTGAGCAGGTTCTTTGTTTTTTCTCAGACCCGCAGTCTGCCTTTTCGAAGCCAAGTTCACTTTGTGCAGTTCATACCTGGCTTTTTTAATCACTTCTATTTTGCAGAATCTGGCAACGCCAGGCGCTTCGGAATCTTCCAAATTGGCGTGTGGGGACAATAAGGAACGATCACATGGCAAGGAGAAAAGACACAAACGTGGTTTTAGCCTTGTCGCAAAACTGACCGGGAGTTCGCGTGATAGGTAGGTACATAGGCTACAAAGAATTCAGTTTAGCAACGGTGAAATGCAGTTTAAACAGAATATATCTGTTCTGAAGTGAAAGTGCCCTACACTTAACGAAATGCTGGTGCATAACTTGCACGTCTTCCTTGCTTTTTTTATTTCTGAAAAAGAGAGAGAGCGTTTAACAGCGTCCCGTACGGGTCTAAAAAGTTGAGTCGAAGATCGTCTGTTGGATCAGAATGAGTACATTCACGTCTTGTTAGAGCGGGCGGTTGCGTTTAAGAACTTATTTGCTCAAAAACGAGAAGTGATGTTCATTTTATAGGTGGAGCAGGAATCATTCATCTTCTCTGACGTCCGAAAAAGATAAAAAAGAGAACATGGTGACGCGGCTTTTGGGCACGCCAGTTTGTCCGAGGATGGATGAAGTAGCACTGATCGAGCCGTTGGTGTGCAAAAAGATAGCTCACGAAAAGCTAACTGGACTTATATTCTGTGAAGATTGCTTGGTGACTGCATGTCAGGAAGGCTTCATACTAACTTGGGCGCGGCCGGGCAAGGTAGCCTCTTTTCACTATCCTCACACAACAGGCTTGCGTTGTCCTCGCGACAGCAATCCAGTCAAGCATATGTTGAGCCATGGCTCTTCGCCTTCTGCCGCCTTCTTTTATAACCATTAAAATCAGATAAGAAGCGTAGGCATGTGTCCAGCCACCGACCAGTGGCTGGGTGACTGCTGATGTGGAAGTCGTGCGCGGCAACAGATCGGTCGTGCTTGTCATTGATTGCGATTTTGTGATTGACGCTGACAAGCAGCACTCCTCCGTAATTTATAGGCAGCGATCCAACGACGCATCGTGAACTCACCGATTCCAGTAAATTCCGGTACTCTTGGCGGCGGTGGCGGTGGCGGCGGCGACTGTGGCAACGGCACGGAAGTGTGATCAGTCACACTGTTGCTTTTCGGGAGCGGGTTTCTGCGCACGCGTTCACACTTCATCTCCCAGTCATTGTTGTTTCATACTTCATTTCACGAGCATTATTGTTATCAGTGCTGCTACTGCTTTTCTCGTTGTTGTTACTGTTGTATCATAGCATCCTGCATAGCACAAAGCCTAATTTATTCCCTGCACAATCCTGTTGGTTTAACATGCCGTTTAGGAATCTCATTGCTTTGTTTCTCCCCCTCGCTTCTCTCACTTCTGCTCTGCTACATTTCAGTTGCAACAACTTCCGTTATTCCTTTCGATGAATTGGATTTTGTAAATTTTTAACACTCAGATAAGACGCCTTCACGACGGCCCACCACCTGATATGGTGTTTTGTAGCACCGCACGCACGCTGGCGCTCGAGCACTGCATACGGGAGGTGGGTGGCGTCCTTCATGGTGTGCGAGTGCCTTATTCACTTTGAGGATGCCTGAGTAATTATGCGTGAAATGGAAGGCAGGTTTGAGAAGCCGGACCATTAAAAGCACTGTAGTAATAAAGGATTAATTGGAGACACCCTGTCTGCGCCCAGGGGACTTCAGTTTACTCTCGTATGAAATTGGGTAAGTTACTGCAAAATCTGGGCAGGTGAAATAAGTAGCAGGTTCTAGTGCCTGGTCTTGAATTGCACACGGCTGTGCTTGCCACTGCAACTGCGGAGACGTTGAAGTGGGCGCTATGCAGCGGGCTAGAACTAGACAGAGACAGGAGAAATTACAGAACTTGGGCAGTCCGGCTCTTTTTTTGTCCAGAAGTTGTGTGCTGCGCAGATGTCATATTTTATTGTTCTGCTATCTGGACTCGAAATGCTCAGTTCCAAGGCCAAGTTTCGAAAATCTGTAAAATTCTTTGA